GAAAAAATAAGGTTTATGATTCATTGATATTTACAAATGCTAAATATTATTTAATGTTATGCAAATGTAAAAGTAAAGTCGATCTGAAAACGTCTAATTAGTAAGAATAGCAAAACAAGTGGTTTCAAAAGGAAGAAAACACCGGCGCTATACGGCGGCGGATTGACGAAAGACTATTTATTGGCGAACTTTTTTTATGCATGAACGGTTTCGAACTGTTCAAGCAAAAATAAACCTTATACCATATCACAAGAGCACATGGTACTTCGTAGGTCTATTCGGCCATATGATAGTAATAAGACGGCAGTTCAACCATTTTGACCAAAATTAAACAATAAGACAAACGCATTGTTTTTTTTAACAGGAGACTTGTTTTCCAGAAATTTATTTACAACTTGAGTTTGTGAGCGATCGCAATAAGTGCTATTATTTGTTACTTATTAGACTATTTTTCCACAACATGATTTATAATCCACAAAGTAAAAAGAGTACCATGTACAAGTTAGAAAAAGTTTGTCAACCCCTAAAATTTTCAAATTTCCAGAAACGAAGCTGTAGACATGAACTTGCAAAATAATGAATATTTAGTTCTGGATAAATCTTCCGAAAACGCAATTTGAGCGAGTTATAACGATTTTTAAAAAGACACGACTCGCGTGTCATACGCCACACACAAATGTAAGCGATGGTACGCCTGGCCTCCCATTCGCACTGAACCGGTTATCTAGTCAGTCCTCTATCTACGGTTGAATAGAATAGAATAGAATAGAATGAATAGAATGATTTTTATTCAATATGGATTATTACATAATACTTATTGAAAGTCATTATTTTATTTACCACTGGTTCGGAAAATACCTCTGTCCTGGGAAGAACCAGCAAGAAACCCAGCGGGACTTTTTTTTTTTAAACATAATTTCACTTAACAATAATTTTGATTATACAATTTTAAATGAATTTTCATAGAACCAGCATGGTGGCGATCACCTTATTCCCAGGGGTTATTTTCATTCATGTATTCCTTGATATTATAATAACCCTTTTTGTACAGTTTTTCTTAAATAAAACTTTTAAACTTGTTTATTGACAAACTTTGAACATGTTCTGGGATTCTGTTGTAAAAGCATATACATTGCCCCATAAATGAATTACTAATTCTGTGGAGTCTTGTAAGTGGCATTACAAGCTTATGTTTGTTCCTAGTGTTTAAGGTATGAACATCCTTATTCTTATTAAAGCTATTTATGTTTTTATGTACATACATTACATTTTCATAAATATATTGCGATGCCAAAGTTAATATGTTTATTTCTTTAAATTTTTCTCTAAGGGACTCTTTACAATTTAGATTATAAATCGCCCGTACGGCTCTCTTTTGCAAAACAAATATAGCTTCAATATCAGTCGCATTACCCCATAGCAAAATTCCGTAAGACATTACGCTATGAAAGTAACTAAAATACACTAACCTAGCTGTCTCAACATCTGTGAGACTTCTAATCTTTCTTACAGCATATGCTGCAGAACTAAGTCTGCTTGCTAATTTAGATATATGGGGGCCCCATTGAAGTTTCGCGTCAATAGTAATACCGAGAAAAACAGTGGTATCCACAAGACTCAACTCCTCCCCATTTAAGAGCACATTGGTTTTCGAATGTTTTACATTAGGTATTGTAAATTTAATACATTTTGTCTTATTGCCGTTTAAGAGCAAATTGTTGGCGTTAAACCAATGTACTAGTTTCGATAGAGCATTATTTACATCGTCATATTTAATTGACTGCCGTTTCAGTTTGAAAATTAAAGAGGTATCGTCAGCAAATAATACTATATCAGTTGGTAGCAATGAATGGGTTAATAAATAGGTAATAATGCCGTTGCCGTTTTACGTGGGTGGGCAGAAACGTCAACGTCATCCCAAATTAGAATTTTTTTCATAGCTGTCAAAATCAATTCTTGAGCGCCATAGACTAGCTTGCTCATAGATATAAGAAAAATAGAGGATAAGCCGTAAATTGCATATATATTTTTTGGTTAATCAAATATCATGCAAACATGAACCTTGCCAACAAAAATATATCTGTCTCATTCTCACACGTTATGATTTTCAAATGTAAAAGAAGATAAGTACATATCTTAGACTTCAATTTTCTGTTAACAGTTTTCATAATGTCACTAAGCTCCACCTTGAAGCATGACGCCATTTTAGGATGACGTTCATCTTCATTTGTGATAGTTCGTCTGTCATCTAAGCCTTGTTCGGAGTTATTTTGCAGTGTTACAGTGAATTTTGACTATTTTGGAGCTTTTTTGTTCATTAGTAAAGGATAATTGAGCAAAAACAACATGACAAAGTGTTGCATCAATGGATGTAATTCAAATTCTCGTAAAAATGAAGAAGGATTGTCATTTTTCAGGTTAGTTGTAATTTTTTTCCATAATTGTATATTTTTTCGTGTGAATTGCGTTTCGTGTTCATGTTATGAGTTCTAAATCGTGTTTCCCGCTATTATCTTGAATTTCCAATAACTATTATCATGTAAATTTAAACAAGTAAACATTTTGATTGTTTACATTTTTACATAGTGTTGCCCTTACGTGCTGTCATGTTTTAAAATTATCGATATAAATTTTAACAATAATATTAATGTAGTCCTATGATCAAATAACGTTTTAGATACGGAAACTGTATATTTAATCAAACGATCGATTGAGAGCCTTTCATTTAAGAAAAGAACTTGAAAATATTGTAAATCGTAAATTTTCTATAGTAGCTTTTTTCATCAAAAGATTTGATGATGTTAAGATTATTTTTGATTGGTACTTAAGGATGCATAATATTTATTTTAGGTTGCCAAAAAATGAAGGCCTTCAAAAATTGTGGATTGATAATATAGGCCAGGTAAACATAAAACCTGCAGTAGTAAGAAGAATATGCTCCTTGCATTTTGAAAAAGAATGTATAAATAGAACGATGGATGTAGTTCGGCTTAAGGGTGATTTGGTTCATGTGTCTAAAATAAATTTTCTGACTAAATAATATTATTTTGTCACGAATAAATGATTTTAATCAGTATAAATTATTGTTATTTTATTTATTTTTAATCCTTACTCTCTCGTTTACCTCCAGTATCCACCACTAATTACGCTACTGGTGGAAGTCATTACAACTTGCAGGTTGTAAACACTATAAAATTGATATTTTGTGGTGTTACACAAATGGGATATAATGAGAAATGAGTATGGAAGTGGAAGTCTGAAGTGGCGCAGCCACCCCTATTGATCGAAATGTTGCATGGAAATTGGTTGTCATATGGTATGAACATGGAATGCTGAAGATTGATTAATACGTTAGGATTGTTAAATGATTAATCGATTGTGTGAACGGTAGTATGGTTAGAAAGGGGCTGCTCAACTCGATTACATTACTGAAGAAAATAAATAAATAATCTTTATTATCGAAAAAAAAGAGAGATGACGGCTACTAACTATGTATGAAAGAACACATGCTCCACAAACTTTAAATAAATCAAGATAAAGGTCAGTCTACTGCACGTTCATGGTGACTTGAACTGGTAACCGACCATTACCACGAAAGAAAGGTGTTGTCGAATCTTTATGGCGGTTTGGAAGTTAAGAACGAGCGCTAGTCCGTGCAGATATAGTTGAAAGAAAACTTGATGGTGTCTCAAGTCACAGTACGTAAAGCGAAGCGTGAAGGTACAGGACTTCCCAGCCGCTATAAAGTCTATATATATGATATAATTCATGCAACCTGGACGCATACCGTTGGGGCTGGTTCGATGTGGTGCAGGACAAAACCACTGGGAAAAACTTAGGGGAGACTTCTGCCTAGTGGGACAGCATGGGCTGGACAAAAAATCATACAAAGCCTAATACATTGCCTATAGTGGTGGTTTCGTTAATCTCTGCAGAGGAGAAAAAAAATGCATGTGTCAACCCAGGGACGCACGGATGGAGTGCTTATGTGCAGATTGCCGTCGTTATGAAAAAAACGTTAGCTCGTTGCACGAACTCAGTATAATATTCTGGTGCACGTCGTGTACGTGTTCTGAAAAGAAAGGAGTTAAAGCTCCAATCAAGTGCTCTTTCCTTGGTCTCTTCGCTCACTTTTGACTGTTGCTTCACCATATCTTAAAGCAATTACAGTTTCAAAACTTTCCTATTCGGAGTTGAACGTAAGATTTATTTATTTATCATCTCAATACAACTATTATTACAGGATTAACGCAATGCAATAGTGTAGTGATCTAATATTTGTTTATTTAATATATACTTATGAGATGGACAATACGTCATAATTTATATAGCATCGATACTGAAAATATCGACAAAAACAACGCTATTTCTTGTGGGTGGAGTCGTCGCCATATTTGAGAAACACTTGACTTCAGATCACGTGACCAAATGCCATAGACATAAGACTAGGAATATTTGTATAGAGATTACCAGCCGTGGCCTTTAATTATTGATTTTTTTAAACTGACGCTGACTTCATGACTTGCGCATTATTAACCAACTGAAGTGTATTGGAAGTAAAACATTTTCCTAAGTTACATATATTATTAAATAAATATTATTAATTTTATATACATTATTGGTGTAAAAGTACAATAGTATTTGTCATAGATAATTATTTGTATTAGTTGCATTGCCATTTTTTAAGCGACTCGTGTTTGTGGTCGTGATGTAACCTAGTGCTTCCTGTATGCCAAGGAGCGACCTGCCAAACAAAATAAAGGAGGGAAATCTTGAAATTTATTTACTCAGATAATATTAAACATATGTAGTGATTTTTTATATTTTGCTCTTTGAGTAATACGAACTCTATGAATAGATCAGAAAACGCTATGTTTATATAGAAATGCGCATTAAACATAAATTAATTTTAAAGTAAGCTAGCTATAAACGTCTGAACTAAACTTGTAACTGAATTGATTTACATTGTAAATTTTACAATCACTGACTTTTTTATTACAATGGAAGAAATACGCTCTAAACATAAATCCATACAAGGCGCTGCCCATCATATTGCCTTTGAGTGTATACATCCTCAGGTAAGAAAACATAAATAAGTATATTTTAGTACTAAAGATATTGCTTTAAAACATTTCAGTTATTATAATTTAATTTCAAGTACAAAAGGAACTAAAATCTATTACTATGACAAAAAAAATAATTGGAGACAAACTGAATTATTGAGTCTTTTTACTAGCTTGACCTGTTTGTATCCATGTATGGATTTAATGTAATTTTGTAATTCAGTTTTGAACCACTTTCTTTCTGAATAATTTGGAATTGCAGACATATTAAAAACTAAGGACAAGAGAAAAATTTCATGATCAACCTATTATTATCACTAGGATCATCACAGGTCTTTACCATTGCTTGTTATTAAAGTTTTCTTAAATTTTAATTATTACTTGTTCAGTTTTAATTTGTATGTTGTAACTGTAGTCAAATTTACATTTCACAAATACACAAAGCATAAATAAAATCCTAATTTTAAGCAGGCTATAATAGGCAGTCTAAAATATTCTAAAGTAATGTAACAAATCAGTGCTTCTACATCTTCGCAACCAAAATGTGCTAGAAAGATAATGGAATATTAAATAAATATGCACACTTATTTTTTTACCAATTAACATAATAATAAAAAGTAATATTATCTGAAGAATGGATACTTCAATTTTGTACACTGTGCATTGTAGGTATATTTTAGGTGTTTGTTTTCAAGATAAAACTGGTTAAGTTTCAAAATATGTATTATGTAGCTTAATTTTCTGTTCTCAAATACTTTTAGAGTAAAACATATTGGCCATGTGTGGGTTTGGAGTATAAGGTAGGGTTCTACAGTATATTAAGATTTTTTTTTTAGATTAGAATTTTAGATTTAAATCAGAAATGTTTAAGGAGCAAAGTATATTCATATTATCCCAGTAATATTGTAGTACTGATTATCTGCAATTCAATTTTGCTATTTTATTAGTATTTATTGAAATTCTTGGCATTTTAGTAGTACATAATATTAGTTATATAATATTTTTGAATACTTATAAAACTGTTTTACGTAAATATTTAAGAATCCGACATAAATAAACAAAAAAATCTCAAAAGCTGCCATTCAATTCTATTCTGTTCACAGTGTGTGTAGCATAGGCACTTGTTCACAGTTTGGTTTGTTCATCCATGTCTGTACCATTGGAACGCACAGCCGGCACATGGCTCTCCATACCACGTTCACCCTTATCCTTCTCCTGTCCGTCTACAGCATGCATTCACAGCACAGAACAGCCCAAAAATGTTCTATCCAAAGGGGCTTAAACCACATCGAGTGAGTATAGCTTACTATTTTAAAAATGTATTTTTTATAGTTTATTTAATCTCTAAGGGTTTAATTTGTATTTGATTACATTTTATATGAACATGTTGAAATACAAAAGTAAGAGCTGATTTTTCAAACATCTGATAAAGTTATTCGTAAAATAAAATACAATATAAAACAATAAAATTACAGTAAAATAGTTTATTTCTTTAAGTTTTATTCTCTGTTATAATTATATGATGGATAACTTTTAAACGATGATTGAAAATTTAGCCTTGTGTGAATTAAAATAAAAATTACTTTTGCAAGACTATAAATTTACCCGGCATGATAAGCTGCTAAAGACTGCTACCGAATAATTCAAACTTTTTATAGGCTAGACCAAATAGAACACTATAATAGTATTCGTGCTTATCCCAATTTAAGGAAATTAACAGTTTGTTATACATGAAATTTGTCCTTTCAAGTATAGCAATGAAAACTAAGATTTAATTTAATTTAAAAAAGTAAGTAAATTTTCATATTATGTTAGACAATCAAATTTATGTTATATGAGTTGTATTTGAGTTTTATATATACTTATTACAAATAATTTTTTACTAAGCTGATCCAAAAATAGTAAATGGTTGGCATGTATATTTGTGGTAGACTTTTTAAAGTAATAACTTGATGAGATACAGCCTTCGTTTATTTCCATTTATGGATTTTCCCATTCCTGTTTAAATGCTTAATGTACTAAACTACACGACTGAAATACCTGTTATCATTTCATTTAGATCATCACATATTATAAATATTGGTAAATCCAATTGGGCATACCTTTATTAAAAAAATTCCGTATAACATGGTTATACGGAATTTTTTAAAGTAATTTAAATACATTTCGACAGCACTATCGGCTTCAACATCCTCGAAAACCATGAAAATGACACCCATGATGAAAAAATTGATACCTATTGCAGCCACCATCTTGGATTTACATTTCGACAGCACTATCACTATCGGCTTCAACACCCTCGAAAACCATGAAAATGACACCCAAGATGAAAAAATTTATACCTATTGAAGCCGCCATCTTGGATTTACATTTTGACAGCACTATCGGCTTCAACACCCGCGAAAACCATGAGAATGACACCCATGATGAAAAAATTTATACCTATTGCATCCGCCATCCTGGATTTACATTTCGAAAGCACTATCGCATTCAACACCCTCGAAAACCATGAAAATGACACCCAAGATGAAAAAATTGATATCTATTGCAGCCGCCATCTTAGATTTATATTTCGACAGCACGATCGGCTTCAACACCCTCGAAAACTATGAAAATGACACCCATGATGAAAAAATTGGTACCTAATTCAGCCGCCATCTTGGATTTACATTTCGACAACACTATCAGATTCAACACCCTCGAAAACCATGAAAATTACACCCATGATGAAAAAATTTGTTACCTACTTCAGCCGCCATCTTGGATTTACATTTCGACAGCCCTATCGCCTTCAACACCCTCGAAACCCATGAAAATAACACCCATGATGAAAAAAGTGATACCCATTGCAGCCGCCACCTTGGATTTACATTTTGACAGCACTATCGGCTTCAACACCCGCGAAAACCATGAAAATGACACCCAAGATGAAAAAATTTATATCTATTGCGGCCGCCATCTTGGATTTACATTTCGAACCCTATTGGTTTCAATTCTCTCAAAAACCATGAAAATGACACCCATGATGAAAAAATTAGTACCTACTTCAGCCGCCATCTTGGATTTATATTTCGACAGCACTATCGGCTTCAACACCCTCGAAAACCATGAAAATGACACCCAAGATGAAAAAATTTATACCTATTGAAGCCGCCATCTTGGATTTACATTTTGACAGCACTATCGGCTTCAACACCCGCGAAAACCATGAGAATGACACCCATGATGAAAAAATTTATACCTATTGCATCCGCCATCTTGGATTTATATTTCGACAGCACGATCGGCTTCAACACCCTCGAAAACTATGAAAATAACACCCATGATGAAAAAATTGGTACCTAATTCAGCCGCCATCTTGGATTTACATTTCGACAGCACTATCAGATTCAACACCCTCGAAAACCATGAAAATTACACCCATGATGAAAAAATTTGTTACCTACTTCAGCCGCCATCTTGGATTTACATTTCGACAGCCCTATCGCCTTCAACACCCTCGAAACCCATGAAAATGACACCCATGATGAAAAAAGTGATACCCATTGCAGCCGCCACCTTGGATTTACATTTTGACAGCACTATCGGCTTCAACACCCGCGAAAACCATGAAAATGACACCCAAGATGAAAAAATTTATATCTATTGCGGCCGCCATCTTGGATTTACATTTCGACAACCCTATTGGTTTCAATTCTCTCAAAAACCATGAAAATGACACCCATGATGAAAAAATTAGTACCTACTTCAGCCGCCATCTTGGATTTATATTTCGACAGCACTGTCGGCTTCAGCACTCTCGAAAACCATGAAAATGACACCCAAGATGAAAAAATTTATATCTATTGCGGCCGCCATCTTGGATTTACATTTCGACAGCACGATCGGCTTCAACACCCTCGAAACCCATGAAAATGACACCCATGATGAATAAAGTGATACCCATTGCAGCCGCCACCTTGGATTTACATTTTGACAGCACTATCGGCTTCAACACCCGCGAAAACCATGAGAATGACACCCATGATGAAAAAATTTATACCTATTGCATCCGCCATCTTGGATTTACATTTCGACAACCCTATTGGTTTCAATTCTCTCAAAAACCATGAAAATGACACCCATGATGAAAAAATTAGTACCTACTTCAGCCGCCATCTTGGATTTATATTTCGACAGCACTATCGGCTTCAGCACCCTCGAAACCCATGAAAATGACACCCATGATGACAAAATTGATATCTATTGAAGCCGCCATCTTGGATTTACATTTCGACAGCACTATCGGCTTCAACACCCTCGAAAACCATGAAAATTACACCCATGATGAAAAAATTTGGTACCTACTTCAGCCGCCATCTTGGATTTACATTTCGACAGCCCTATCGCCTTCAACACCCTCGAAACCCATGAAAATGACACCCATGATGAAAAAAGTGATACCCATTGCAGCCGCCACCTTGGATTTACATTTTGACAGCACTATCGGCTTCAACACCCGCGAAAACCATGAGAATGACACCCATGATGAAAAAATTTATACCTATTGCATCCGCCATCCTGGATTTACATTTCGAAAGCACTATCGAATTCAACACCCTCGAAAACCATGAAAATGACACCCAAGATGAAAAAATTGATATCTTTTGCAGCCGCCATCTTGGATTTATATTTCTACAGCACGATCGGCTTCAACACCCTCGAAAACTATGAAAATGACACCCATGATGAAAAATTGGTACCTAATTCAGCCGCCATCTTGGATTTACATTTCGACAGCACTATCGGCTTCAACACCCTCGAAACCCATGAAAATGACACCCATGATGAATAAAGTGATACCCATTGCAGCCGCCACCTTGGATTTACATTTTGACAGCACTATCGGCTTCAACACCCGCGAAATCCATGAGAATGACACCCATGATGAAAAAATTTATACCTATTGCATCCGCCATCTTGGATTTACATTTCGACAGCACTATCGGCTTCAACATCCTCGAAAACCATGAAAATGACACCCAAGATGAAAAAATTGATATCTATTGCAGCCGCCATCTTGGATTTATATTTCGACAGCACTATCGGCTTCAACACCCTCGAAAACTATGAAAATGACACCCATGATGAAAAAATTGGTACCTAATTCAGCCGCCATCTTGGATTTACATTTCCACAGCACTATCGGATTCAACACCCTCGAAAACCATGACCCATGATGAAAAAATTTATACCTATTGCAGCCGCCACTTTGGATTTATATTTCAACAGCACTGTCGGCTTCAGCACTCTCGAAAACCATGAAAATGACACCCAAGATGAAAAAATTTATATCTATTGCGGCCGCCATCTTGGATTTACATTTCGACAGCACGATCGGCTTCAACACCCTCGAAACCCATGAAAATGACACCCATGATGAATAAAGTGATACCCATTGCAGCCGCCACCTTGGATTTACATTTTGACAGCACTATCGGCTTCAACACCCGCGAAAACCATGAGAATGACACCCATGATGAAAAAATTTATACCTATTGCATCCGCCATCTTGGATTTACATTTCGACAGCACTATCGGCTTCAACATCCTCGAAAACCATGAAAATGACACCCAAGATGAAAAAATTGATATCTATTGCAGCCGCCATCTTGGATTTATATTTCGACAGCACTATCGGCTTCAACACCCTCGAAAACTATGAAAATGACACCCATGATGAAAAAATTGGTACCTAATTCAGCCGCCATCTTGGATTTACATTTCCACATCACTATCGGATTCAACACCCTCGAAAACCATGACCCATGATGAAAAAATTTATACCTATTGCAGCCGCCACTTTGGATTTATATTTCAACAGCACTGTCGGCTTCAGCACTCTCGAAAACCATGAAAATGACACCCAAGATGAAAAAATTTATATCTATTGCGGCCGCCATCTTGGATTTACATTTCGACAGCACGATCGGCTTCAACATCCTCGAAAACCAAGAAAATGACACCCAAGATGAAAAAATTGATATCTATTGCAGCCGCCATCTTGGATTTATATTTCGACAGCACTATCGGCTTCAACACCCTCGAAAACTATGAAAATGACACCCATGATGAAAAAATTGGTACCTAATTCAGCCGCCATCTTGGATTTACATTTCGACAGCACTATCGGATTCAACACCCTCGAAAACCATGACCCATGATGAAAAAATTTATACGTATTGCAGCCGCCACTTTGGATTTATATTTCAACAGCACTGTCGGCTTCAGCACTCTCGAAAACCATGAAAAT